CTATCTATCTATCTATCTATCTATCTCTATCTCTGTCATCTCTCTGTCTCTAACATTTCACCTATCAGAATCATATAGGATCTCTTGAAGTCTTCATGCAAGTTCTCTCTCTCAATGTCATTATCCAGAGAACAGTGAACATTTCTATTCGTGATGTTAAAGACTCCAGGCAATGATTGGCTGGTTCTATGAGAACTGTGCCCTCCGTCATCTCAGAAACACATAATCAGGTGGAGCAGAGCAGAGAGAGGTCAAACTGGGGCTTGACACACAGGCTCAGGAGCTCATCAAAATTCTACGTAGGGCCTGCTGCTTGACTTGTTTCAGGAGACAGTGGGCACTTCAGCAAACAAGTATCTTGGGGACAGATGGTCTGATCCCACACTCTGCACTAGATTCTATTCCAGCTCTGTTCACTTAGTAAGAACTGCTCACCAGCAGCATGTCAGAGTGAATGGCATTGCCTAGCAATTTCGCCTCTTTTTTAGCAGTCTTCCTTCCTTAATCCAGTGACCAGCAGGGAAGGGGTGAATCTTCAAAGTCAGCCAGGGAAGCAAATATCATGTGGCAAACACCCTTCTAAAACACTGTACACACACCTAGTGAATCACAAATGTGAGCAGGAGTTTCAATATATTATCAGACAAATCATGGAGTAATTCCCTTACCTCTGACATATGTAACAGTTAAACGAGGATCACCAACTCAATGCCTAGAGTGGGCAGGCAGGTCATGTAAACAAATAAAGCAGGCAAGGGCATAACTAGGGTGTGGTGGGGACTGTGGCAAAATGGAGAATGTGGGCCGAGTCTACAGGGACACTGTCAGGCTCTGGTTTGTCTCCAGGGAAAGTAGATCCAAGAGCAGGTCTTCTAACTTTGTAAAAACTTGCAAACTGGATTTGTATGTGAAATCCCTTGTCTTTTTAAATGTCTGTGACTGGCTAGTTCTAATTTTTAAAACTTTCCAGGCAAGCAGCACCTCTACAGGTAGCATCAGACCAGAAGGCTGACAATTCCTGACGATGAAGTAAATGGTTTTTCACGTTACTCATTCTTCTTGTTTCCCACATCCTCGGAAGTTAAGTGGGAAGAAAGGACTACACTCAGGCTTTATTTTAAATTCAAGTTCATGCCGGTTGTCCATGTGGCTGTCTATTGCTGAGGCATCTTGGGAAGTTGTTGAGCAGAGGAGAGCACAATTTGAAGCTCTCTGTTTCCTTTTTATTTCTGTTTATTTCCGCAGTAGAGCCAGAGGAACAATTATGTTGTTACAGTAACAGCCACTTGTCTTGCAAGACTAAGAAAGGAGTAACAAATGAAAGAGGCCCAGACCAGAGAGCAGAGCAGCCTGCCAACCGAAATCACAACATCGGTGCTTCGAGCAAGAGAAACAGATAACTGCTTGTTCTTAAGGACTCGTGGTCTTAAATCTATCAAAAGGACTTTACTACGAGCATCTGAGAATGGATAAAAAATCCCGCATGTTCACACTTAATAGCAGTAACTAATTTTTGAAATTGCTATACTGGGTGAGGTCATAAGAAATGACTTTCCTGTTGGTTGCAGTCGAGGTTGGATGTCCATTCCAAATCAATTTCACACTCCTGCCTTCCTCGGAGAGCCTTGATTTAGTGTAAATTTCTGTCTTTCCTCCCACAGGACTCATTGGCAAATCCTAATTGGTGAGGTCAGCAGTCTAGTTCCCTTTCGTTAGTCATAGATTTAGGGCAAACCTGTGATTCAGCTGCTCATTGAAGGGTGAGGGATTTAGAGATTTCTGGGAAAGGACTCAGAGCTATTAATAAGGCCAAAAGTGATGACTTCCTTGCTTCATTGCATGTTGTCTCATCTGGATGTGACACCTGGAATGCTGGCAGTCCTCTTGTGGCCGTGAGAGAAATCAGCCTAAGGACATACCTGAACCATGTGGCAGAGTGGCAAGATTGAAAACCATCGTGCCTGAAGAAATATCGGAGTCACTGAATTAAGTTCAACTAAACAACCCTGAATTCCAGCTCCCTCAGGATTTCTTATATATGAGAGAGTAGGTATTTTAAATCTTCTACACCGATTTTACTAACAGCTAAAGGTACGGAGAAAACTAAAATTCAACAAAGGAAAACAACCCACTTCGAAAGTGGGAAAATGACTTAAAAATTTTTTTTCCTAAAAGATATACAAATGTCCAATAAGCTAAGCACAAGAAAATATGGAGCCCCAAGAGGGTTCGCCAGGAGTATTTCCAGTGTACTCGATGGCCTCCATCCTGCTCAGGGAATGGCAATCGTCCATCATTGTGGGTTGCCCCAGAAGCGCTATTTCATTGTGTACAAAGCAGCCAGTGGATGAGAAGATGAGTAATGTAAACCTCATGTTTTACTTCCATGACTCCCTGTACATTAGAGATGGTAAAAAATGCTCTGGAATGATCAAATAGCCCCAGTAGGACCTGCGGGCATTGTGGGGCTGGCAATTATACCACACTGCTGGAAATGCCTGTGTGGAGTGTCACGGAGCCTCTGATGGTAAGCAAAGACTGCCAGATTACCCTGTAGCACTTAACAACAACAACAAAAAGACTGTGCTTTTAAAAGAATATATTTGAAGGTGATATTGCTTCCTTCCCTTTTGGATTCTCCCCCCCCTTCCCCCCCCCCCCCCCCCCCGTTACCATCCTGCTTTGCTGCAAGGATTTCTAAATATTATTACCACTTAAAAGCAATTTTCTGCTCTTACTGTATGCATACACCTGGCCCTGCTTTCCCGGAATCCCCAGCTGTGTATTAACTGTTCTCTAGAATAACAATGCGCAGAAACCAACGAGGAAATTCTTTTGTGGGGTAAAAGGGAAAGAAGACACTGACCAATCTTTTGAATGAACACTCTCTTCTTTTTGCTAGGGTCCCATAATTTTAGTTCCATCCTACCAAAGCAGAATATTAAAAACTACCAATCCCAGCTTTCCTCACAGCTAGACACAGGCATGTGACCCAGGTTCCGCCAATCAGATATAGACATTAAAGGCTGATTTGGAAGTAAGCCAAGGCTTTGGGGATATAATGCTGTGGGCAGAGATTATGACAGAGGCCTTGAAAGACAGTGCCAATTCAGGCAGTTGTGTGGAATGCACTAGGGGAAGCAATTGCCATCTCATTAACCCAATCAGAGGTCTGGCTTTGAGCACTGAACCTGCAAGTTGAGCCTTGAGAACATTTCCCTGATCTCCCCTGACTACTATCCTCTCATAAAGTTGTCCTTTTCCTACTTATGCCAAGGTGGTCGTTTCTGTTATCTGCAGCTAAAAATGGCCTGACCCGGCAGGCACACGCAGATATGTGACAAGACTTTACTTGCAAACAAGGGTTCCAGAAAGATCTTCAACTAAGAGATTCTAATCATGACCTGGGCTTGGTGCAGAGGAGCTCTTCGGTCTCTCGTTCAGAACTCATAGAGAAAAAGTGGGAGCTATTCCGGTCTCTCGGGCAGAACTCATAGAGAAAAAATGATTTCAGCTAAACCATAGGATCACATCTACTCTCACGAGACAACCAAACAAGTGGCAGTCTAGATGGGGCTGTTCTAGGGCTTTGCCTTCCTCTCTCTGCCGGAAGTGCCAACCAACCATGCATGTCCTTTGGAGGGAGAATCCTTCTGACAGGGCTTACCTCTCCATCGTTTCCCACATGGCAGAAATCAGTTGACACCGCTCAGGATTGAGTTCTTGGGAAACAGACCCAGGTGAGCCCCAGAAGTGAAAGGTGATAAGATGTTGAAGCAGCCATAACTGGTTTGGCTCAGTGGACAGAGCGTCCGCTTGCAGACTGAAGGGTCCCGGTTAGATTCAAGTCAGGAGCATGTACCTTGGTTGCGGGCATATCCCCAGTAGGAGGCGTGCAAGAGGCAGCTGATGGATGACTCTCTCCCATCGATGTTTCTAACTATCTCTCTCCCTTCCTCTCTGTAAAAAATCAATAAAATACATTTAAAAAAAATGTTGAAGCACATTTCACATATTTCCCCAGGTCTGGCTCTGTTGTGAATCAGCATGATTTTAAAAGAAATTAAAAAGAGCAGATTACATCGTATGTGGTTCTTTGACAATCAAAACAGAGCAAGATAAATATCTTCACTGTTTCCAATGCGATCTTCCTAAATGAAGGAAATCTGAGCATATGGCAAGAAGCTTGAAAATATGTTAAAAGCATGTGAATGTCATGATAAAAGTGGGACTGGTGAGCTGCCAGTCCACGTTCTCTGAAAATGGAAAGGAATCTCCTTAATTCATTTTCTCCTAAATCTGGCTGTGGGAACTACTTCTCCAAGACCAGAAATGAAATTTTGAATAAATGGTGCTACTTAAATATACTGAAAGGGGAGTTTAAAATGAAGTAATGTAGAAACTATTAAATAGTGCAAAAATATCTGGTGACTTTGGATGTTTGAATCCCAGTTCCATCTATGATGTGACCTTGAACAAGTCACTTGATCTCTCTAACCCTGTTTCCTTACCTATTGGACGATAATGTTTGTTCTTGGCTTATCAAACTGCTCTAAGGAGAATATCAATAGCTTCGGCAAAGTATTGGTCATGGTTACTGCTAAAGAAATGGTAACTATTAATTGGTGAATTGGGCCAGCCTCTACCTTCAACTTAGTCTATCTGATGCTAATAACAGAGGATGAGCTTCTAGCAGCAGCCTCTAGAATAGGGGTGTCGAACTCAATCAGAGAAGGGGCCAAAATCTAAAATCCAGCCTAAATCGTGGGCCGAATGGTTTACTGAAGTCATAAACTGTCATTGTGATGGAAACTCAGCAGAGTGCAGTGATGACAGCGCGGTGCGGGCCACATTGCAAGGCCTGGCGGGACGGATTTGGCCCGCGGGCCTTGTGTTTGACACATGTGCTCTAGAAAGTCTGTTAAGTCACTGCAAGGATTCAGTAAGTGGCCTTCAGAAGGGAGAACTCAAAATTCAGCCTTCATCAATGAGCACACAAGTTCATTATCAAGTTTTGTGTGTTTTTTATTAATCTCTGCCACACTGTCCTCTCATTAGGAATTGAAATAAGAGAACTACCTGCCCTTTGGACTGTGTGTTTAAGCTTTTATTGTGAATGGTAACAGGTCAGAGTCTGGAATGTAATTGACACAGAGGCTAAATTCAAAGAGCATTACTTGGAAGACTCTCTAAGGACAATAATTTCACAGCAAATAAATTCAAACCAGAAGATGCTGCTTGAAAACCACGAATTTAGTCAAGGTTGAAACATACAAGAATAGTTAAGTATTTTGCACAAAGAAAATCTGGTGGGTGAGCCAGTAGAATTGATGCCTGTGGAATGCATTCTCAAGGGTTCTGTTTTGCTTCTTTGAAAGAGGCCGTCATTGTTGGTTCAGCTGGGGGGTTCCTTCCTTCACTCTGAGAACCTGGAGCAGAGAGATCAGCACCATAAAAATAAAAAATAAAATAAAAAAATAAAATAAAAAATTTTAAAAAGAGTTAGGCAAATGTATTGTTATACTTGACCTAACTCCATTCCCAACAAACTATCAGCATCACATGGAACTAGTTAGCAAGGCAAACTCCTAGGTCACCTTGACCAACTGAATTGGAACCTGCTGGGAGTGAGGCCCAGCAATCTGTGCTTTCACGAGTCTCAGGTGTTCTGAGTGAGCATGCTAATGCTCCAAAACCATAGCTGTCCCGAGAGAGAAACAAACTCTCTTTTGGAAGGCACTATATTTTTAGGGGTCTTTTTGTTATAACAGCTTAACTTGCACTCTGATATATTTTGACTAATGTTAACAATTAAATGTATTATCCCCAGAAATTGTGACTAAATAGCAGCTGGGTAGGGGGACTATTAGGGAATGTGGAATCTTAATTCTCATGTGGCTTCTTTTGGAAATAGCTCATTACACGAATCAATTTGTGAATTGCACAATTATGTATCATAAAGCCATGAATATATGTGGTAGCAGGGTGAGCAATTTGGGAAGATAAGCCTCTATGGGTTCCTGCCAATTCTCCACTTATTGTGGTTTGCTTGTTGTGGCTTCTGTTCAAATTAATTAAGACTGAAGAAGAATGAAAAGCTATCATTTAAAAAACCTTTCTTTGTTTCCCTATAGCAGCCTTTACACACTGAGGTGAGAAAACACTTTTCATCCAGACTGGAGTTTGTTATGCTTTTCAAGAGCATAATTCTGGAAATTCAGGTTCTCTGACACCCAGACCAGCAATTTGTTCCTAATAACAAAACTTATTTTATCAAACCAGAAATTACCTGCTCTACAGCTCAATGCTTGGCCAGGTGTGAATGAGGCCAGGGCCTGGGGTTCAACTCCCACCCGAGCCAATTAGCTTTGCTCTCCTCCATGGGCCCAGGATGCACTATTAAGGATGACCAACCTGCCTGAAGATGCTGTTATACCCGCCTGGCATTATGAGCCACAGGTCATAAAAGGGACCAGCTGAGGGTGTGAGAAAGAACCCATAGAAGTCCTCCCATTGGCAGGAGATATTGAATTTGAATGGTTTGGCTCAGGGGGAGGAAGTAAAGCTACAAGGAAAAGAAGTGTGTACCCCAGGAAGATTGAGGACCTACAGGCAGGAGGGGAGTGAGGAGGCCAACATTCCTCTGTTCCTTCATGGAAACTATCTGGGTGGTCAGAGGGTTTTTAGTTCTTTTTGGTTGCATGTTGCTTTCCCTATATTTGGAGCTTCCTTTGGAGCAGTTCACATGTTAATAGGTAAAACTTTTCTATTCTCTATACTGATTTGATGGGACAATGGGAGCAGTCTCTTACAACAGGGAGGTGGGGACATATGTGGGAAGGGGTTTAGGATGGGAATGGGGGGGGGGAATATGTGATACCTTATCAATAAAGAAATTAAAAAAAAAATAAAAGTGAGGTCAAACTTGCAACATTTTCTTCCTTTCCGTAACAGCTGTGGCAACAAATTCCTCAAGTCCCTTTCCTATCCACCAAATAAGAAAGAGAAAAACCCTAAGGCTACAAAGAACAATAAACTGGGTCTAAATCACAAGAGCAACCCAAAGGCCAACTTCAGTCTTTACTGAAACTCAGGAGAATCCACAACCACCTGCAGGATTAGGATTAGGCCCTGGAGTTGGCCAATCTAAACACCGTTTTATGTTACAGAAACCATAGCATCAAAGTTCCATTCATTTTTGTAAGAAGGATATAGTTAAAATAAAATTAGCTTAACCTTGAAAATGATTTGCCATAATTTCTGATAAAGTTCAGGAGCTTGCTTGCCATGATATCATATCTATCTAGTAGATTCAGTGCACATTTGCACAGATCTTTTCTGCATTAAGTCAATATCATTGTCATCAAAACCTAGGAAATGCTCGCAATTCTAACTATAGCTCTGGGAGAGTTGGCAATAGGACTTGATGTCTTTTTACTAAAGTGGGAGAGGAGAGCACATGTGGATAGTTATTTAAGACAAGTCCTTCAACCTCTGAGAACTCCTATTGCTAATTCTGGTAATGCCTCGCTAAGTTACTAAAATTCCTTCTAACATGGAGAGATATATGGTTTTCTAATAGAAGCAATTCTCTTGGCATGTCCTTTTTGTAAACAAGACAATTATAAGATGTTCTCAATTTTTATGACAGCATACTTTCATTGAGGTGAAATTTCCAAAGCCAAGGGAGCTGTAAGTTCTAAACATCCCATCCATTCACAGTTGCTAATACACACAATTCCTAGTAAAACCCCTAAACTGGAGTTTTTACATTTTGATGTGCTAAGAGGAAAAATAATCCTATCTAATAAAGAGGTAATTTGCAAAATGACCATCATGCCATCACAAGGATGGCAGTGCCCACAGAGGAGGCTGAGTTCCGACATCAAGCCTTAATGAGCAATCAGCAGAGACCTGAGGCTTAGTGGCACTGGGCTGGGGCAGGAGACCTGAAGCTGCAGCCCCCTCCTGGTGGGGCTTAACAGGGGACCTCAGGCTGCGCCCCCCATCCTGCCACCAGGCTGGGAAACCTCAGGTCATGCTCCCTGCTTCGCAGAGCTTGATGGGGGACTTCAGGCCACGCCTCTGCCCTGGTGCGGGCCGGGGAACCTGAGGGTGCATTGGGGGATCTGAGGCTGCACCCCCACCCTATGAGGCTTACAGGGGCCCTGAGGCTGTACCCTTTGGGGCTTGATGGGGGACCTGAGGCTGCACCCTCCCCCTCCCCGCCGCCCCAGCCCGAGGGACTTGACAAGGGTGGGGCCAGCTGGGTTTGATTCTTGCCCAATGCAGGTGGGGCCAGCTGGGTCTGGGTCTCACATGATTTTGAGGTGCCACAGGTGGGCAGGTACTTGACTCTGGGTCCCGCAGAGCATCCCAGACTCTGACAGGAGGAAGATTTTCATATACATTTTACTAATTTTCTTTCATCTCTGACCCTTCTATTATAGAGAAAAGGCAAATAGCAATATTAAAATATTTCCTCTAATTAATCCCCTTTTAATGTGCATGAATTTCGTGCACCGGGCCACTAGTCTATTATGTTGAAAAGAAAAGGTGGCATGGCAGTTGTCTACTAATTTCCTTAACGTGTATTGGGTATTGGCCTAATGCAGTGGTTGTGAAGGCTTGCATTGTGAACAATTCTATTCTTCCCCGCTGGACCTTTCCTCCCAACTCTCCCCAAACACCTCCCACCCTCACCCCACCCCCACCCTCACCCCCACTTCCTCAGTAGGTTCCTTATACCTTTGAGTCTGGAACCTACATCTGAAAAGTTGCTGCTATCCTTGGAATCGGAATCTGGAGTAGACTGGAGAATACCCAGGGATGCCCCGCGGAGGTGACTGGTGGCTTCCTGTCCCCTTTCCTTCCATGAGGCTTAGCAGAGTCCTCACAGCTTCTTCCCACAGAATGTGCTGCCGCAGCTGGTACTTCGGGCTCCCTCCCTCGTAAACATATGGGGATTCTCCTGTGCTCTTTTTCCCCATTAGGTGCCCTGTAAATGACAAAAACAAACACAGAATGCCACAAATTTAACCTGGAGCAAAGGATGAGTAGAAATTGAAGAGGACCCTTATTATGTTTGTGCTTCTTGCTCTTAAATGCAGAACAAGCAGCATTTTATTATTAAGAGTTAATTGATGACTGGTTTTGCTTTTTGTTCAAAATGAGAAGTGAACTGGACAAAATTCAGACCTGCAACTCTGGAACCCAGAGTATGGTCCCAGTCCCTCTGCTAACAAGGTAGGTGACCTCTGCTTAGTCATCTAGCCTCCCCTGTCTTCAATTTCTCAAATATAAAATGAACAAGATGGACTTAATGAAATATAGGGAACCTTCCATATCTAAAATTCTATCACCAATTCTGTGTCCGCCAAGTTCCATTCCCAGCTGAATGGTGGAATTGAAACATCCTCCCCAGACGATCTGATCTGAAATTGCTACTGCGAGAAAAGTCTCGAAGCTTTTCTTTGTATGATTTTTTTAAACGGGGCAGGGGCGTTGTTTATCGCTTATCTGTAATACAAATGTACCAAAGGAATTTTTCATTTAAACTTTCTCAGAACTTAGCTGAGATTGAATCTAGGAAGCGTCACCTAGAGATTACAGTTTGTAAAGCATGTAATGAAAAACTGGTTGAAAACAAGTTCTGACCAATACTTCCCAGCCACATAAATGCAAGATTTTCTCTTGGGTGTCTAATGTGGTCAGCAAACATCTATCAAAGGCTCCCGGCATATAAATGTGCCATGTAAATTAACAAAAGTTGCGGTGCAGAAGGCCAAATCACTGAAACCGTGGAAATTCATGAATGCAATTCATGACAGCCACGGGGTCAAAGGAGGCAGGGAATTCAAGGTCTGCATTCTGAACACGTTACCCCATTAGCTTAAATATTCTCACATTATTTTATTTACTTTCTTCATTTGATGTTTCCCATCTCTCTATGATCCGCTTATACAGTATTTCCGAATAAAACTATGGTGCTTTTGATGTAAAGGTCACAAGGCAAGAACTCTCTGTGGCTCCAGTGCTGACTGACATTAGAAGTGTTTAAAGCAAACATCATGGGAATAACGTTGGATAGATCTTAGTCATACAAAATAGAAAGGACCATTTCCCAACACCTCTCTCCACCAGAGGAGCCCTCACTGTGACATCACTGCATGCTGCAGCGTGCTGTTTATAGGATGTCTTAGCGCAGGTCATTTTATTTGAGCCACCTTGTAGTAAGTGTGATAAAAGAGACTTGCTGGTGGTCACACAAGTAAGTAAAGACTCTAGGATTAAAATCAGCTCATAGCCGAAACCGGTTTGGCTCAGTGGATAGAGTGTCGGCCTGCAAACTGAAGGGTCCCAGGTTTGATTCCGGTCAAGGGCATGTACCTTGGTTGCAGGCACATCCCCAGTAGGGGGTGTGCAGGAGGCAGCTGATCGATGATTCTCTCTCATTGATGTTTCTGGCTCTCTATCCCTCTCTCTTCCTCTTTGTAAAAAATCAATAAAATATATATATTTTTAAAATCAGCTCACAGTCCAGACTCTACTATACTGTACTGCTTCGAAGTCTTTAAACTTCCTAAGAATATAAGGCAGTGAGAAATCACTCTGGGATCTGTGATAAGGATGAGGTCTGCAAAAGACTTTCTAGTATTATCTTTGAAATAGAAACCATATAGCCATATATCACAATTGGTTATGTGACTCAGAAAATTAATTCTGTGAGTATTGGGGAGCCTTGAATGGAGGTTTCACTGCACAGCAGTGTGAGCACTTGTCAAGTCCCTTGAGACGCGTCACACAATGTCAGGACTCCCTCTTGAGGACCCTGTCTCCACTGAAGGAATCCTGAGTGATCGGCTCCTCACTTGTCTGCTTGGCCAACCTGGTGCCCGGGTAGCCACTCAATAGCCTTGCATTTAGCCATAACAGCGATTATGTTGCACGACTTCCCAGGAAATCGCAAGCCATTTGGCTTTATTAACATGGAGAAAATTGAATCATGATGATGGAAAAGCAGGATTAGAATCTGATGCTCCCAGTAATGACCTCGGTCCGTCTTGCCTTCCATCATGTCCTATCATCCTGTTTGCATGCTGGAAAGGAGAAAGGCATTATTGCCAATGAAACAGAGGGGGACTGGAGATGTTTTCACAAGTAAGAACTTCATTTTTGTCAGGCCTGAATAATTTTGTGGGCTTTTCTAAAAACCATCTGTAATGGATTTCACACATAAGATGTCCCTCAAAAAAATGTATACACACACTTTAAATAATTTTAAAGGCAGTGCTTATTAAATACATTTTCTTTTCAAAATGGAGCTCTTGGCTGGTAACGTATGTGTACCTTTTTGGGAGACATCCTGTAGACCCTTGGGATCTTTCCTTGAGTTTTTAATATTTGCATATTTGGAGGGTGGGAAGTATTCTGACTCCCACCCCCCAGATCCACAGACTGGTCATTAAGAAGAAGGTACCATCTATAACATCACAGGGAAACACACATTCCCTGGGTAATCATCTCTATGGCAACATGGATGCTACGCCCACTTCCACCTCTTCTCCCATCATCTTTTGTTATTTATTCCTATCATAATAGTGGAGATTGCAGCATGGCTAAAAAACAAGCACTTGAAAAAAATAAAATAAAACCGTGGCCAGGGGTGAGGGGGTGAGCTTTTGTCCTTTTCAATCACGTAAAAAGACCACTAAAATAGCAGGTTTGAAACATAAATTAACTTTCTTGAACTCAAAACTTGAAGATTACACAAACTCAGGAAACGACCCATTAAGACAAAGTGCTAAGTACTTCTAGGAGCTGGCATCTCTGGACAGATACTTAAACTTTATTTCAGTTTCTGGAACTGTGTGACACTGTCAGGACAGTCTGGAGGTACGCACAGGTGTTCAGAATCCCTCCTCCCTGACAGAGACCACAGGCATTTCCTTAGGAGACTGGCAAGCTACATGTAAAACCAAACATCATTCCTGCTCGCCAAAGCTCACACTCCCTCCGAGCGCATGTCTACCCAAAGGCAACTTTTGCTCAACTATTGTACAATGTCATTTTAGACCCAAATGTGAGTTTCTCCTTCTCCTTTCTCTTTCTCCCGCCCCCGCTCCCCCCAACTCTGCACAGCCAGCCAAGGGGGAAAAGGAAAAAGTGTGTGTCTGAGACAATAAGAAAATTTAAGGTTGCCACTGGTCTGTATGCTTTTGGGTGAGGAATGCCCAAGCACCACCACAAAGGGTGATGAATGCCAGGAACCCTAACTCCCTGGAGACAAGTATGCTCTTGAACTACGGCAATCAGGTTGGCTTGCGTCAGAAATAACATTGTTCTAGCTGCTCAGCTAACTCTTGTCCTCCTTTGGGCCTGCAAGGGTTACCTAATAATAAAGCCTTTTTAGGACAAAAAAATATGGATGAGCAAAAAGAGGTTGGAAATCTGGAAGTTTCATTTCACCTTCCCAGGCCACTAGATGGTGGCTGGGCTGGACATTGGCCACTAGCTCTAAGGTCCCAGGAGCCCTTTTAAGCATCAATCCTAGGTTTGGCTTTCTTAATACACAATTGTCCTTTCTTGGTTGTTTTTATTTTTGCTTTTTATCTTCGCTAATCCCAGCCTTTCCTCTCCATTCCAGACTTCTGGGCTCCCATTCCCCTCAGAGATCACAAATGTTTTCATCGAGGCTGCCGGCCTTTACCAATGACTCAGCAGCAATGTGAACTTCTCTGCTACAATCAGAGCTTTCCAGTTCTCTGACAGAAGCTGCCGCAACAGGGAAATGCTGGGGAAGTGACAGGTCCAGCCTCACCACTTTCCATTAATTCATCCTGTCTTCTCACAGAGAACCTGAGAGTTGTCTGATGTATATGAATTAGCAAGTATCTTTCCAACACCCCCCTTCTCTACACAGATAACTAAAGAAATAAAAACAAACATATAAAAACACCACCATCACCACCACCACCATTACCACCACCATCACCATCACCACCATCACCCCTATCACCAGCATCACTATCACCATCATCACCACCCCACCACCACCCTTAAATCTCTTTAATGATGACCAGCCACCCCCCCCCCCCCCCCAGGAAATGTTGGGTTGCTGTGGTTGGCTTTATGGGGAGGTGTCTGAGGCAGTTGGGAGCTTTGTATTTGCCAGAGGCTGTTTGACGTGGCCGAGATTCCCCAGGGTGGCATTGGGTGAGCGCGAGGTTTCAGAACCGCTACTTGCCTCCCATTACTTGTCTCTGGGAGCCCTGGGGCCACGATGAGCGAACCTCCAAGCCTATCATGCCGAGAGAGGCAGAAGAAAAGGAAAAGGAGCTGGGGGGGGGGGGGGGGGAGAGGGGGGAAGGTCGTCTAGGTCCTGAGAGGTGGAGGAAAGCAGGGTTCAGGGGGCAGAGAGCACAGGATCCGTGTGGAGGGCAGGCGCGATTACCAGAGCGCAGACTTCTGGATGGCAAGCGGGAGGGCTGAGCAGACGGGCAGAGAAAAAACAATCGCTGTAGAGGCAGGAGGAGGACCGAGAAAATTCAGAAGAACCGCAAAGGGGAGATTCACAAGCTGCTCGCTGAACAGGTTTAAAGTCCCTACCTGGGGCTTTGCCGGGCGCAAAGGCGCAGCCTAGGTTCACGCCCGGCTGGATCAGAGGTCCGAGACGCTCTGGGGGACCCGGCTTCCTAAAGTTGTTCGGGGAGAGAGGGTGCTGGAGAAAGGAGGTGTTGGGTAGGTGTGGAGGGAAGGTGATCTCTGTGCCGCGTTGGGTGCTTTGGAGAGCTGCGCGCTGGCTCGGGTGCCCCAGGGAAGAGGGGAGACCCAGGGACCAGCCCTTGGCTGCTGTGGGACTGACGGCTTACCAGGACGGGGAAGGATGGGGAGTTTGGGGAGAAAGGGCTGGTGTTTGGGTAGAAAGATCGGAGCAAACCCAGCCCCCAAAGCCGGGACCCGGAAACGCTGGGAGAGGGGAGACTGGTCCTGCCCAGGGCTAGCGCGCGCCGGACACTCACCCACCGCCCAGTGGTTGCCGCGCGGGTACATCTTGGCCAGCATGGTCTCCCCGGCCGCCGGCACCGGGGCGGCAGGGGCCCGGGGCGCCTGGCAGAGGACCAGTGCCAGCAGGACGAGCGGCAGCTCACGGGCGCGCATGGTCCCGACGGGCAGCTCCGGGGCGCGCAGAGGGCTGGGCGGAGGGTGCGCCTTCCTAGCAGAGCAGCGAGCGCAGGACTTAGACCTCGGGGAGCTCCGCTGTCGCCGTCCTCCGCGCCGCTGTTGCAGCCTTCGCCGAGCCCCGACTTTATATGGGAGCCCGGTCGGGGGGGGGGGGGGGGCGTCGGGGGCTACTCCACCGCGGACCGGAGCGCTCTGACGTCTCCCTATAGCGAGCCCGGGCGCCTAGACAACCGTCCGCGAAAACCATCCATCTTCCCGCGGGATAATGAACAGCATGAGTGTACACCGTTCCTCTCCCTCTCCCTCACGGTCCCGGCCGCCTTCCCCACAGGGGATTCATTCTCCTCATCCCCGACGCCTTCGCTCCAACACAATTCGGAGAATTCCCTCCCCAGCCTTACCTGGATACCTCCCCCCTCCGATCCTGCAAGAGGCAGCTGGTGGTGGCCGGTGACCCTGCAAGAGGGAGCTGGTGGTGGCCGGTGCACGGGCAAACAGGAAATATTGCTTTAGGTTCATCTTTGCTGGAAGGGGATTGGAACCGGGATTGCAAAGACTTCAGATTCTCCGACTTTTCCCACTCCGTGGATCATCTCCCTCCCCGCAGTCCCAGCCTACCGAACTCCAGACCCTTCTCTCTCCTCCCTCCACCCCTTCTCACCACCACCCCCACCAGCATACCCTCACCCCAGCTGGGTGTTTGGGGCGCCCCTGAGCTGGAGGATGGGGCAGGAAGAATCTGTTCTGTGTAGAGAGCTAACAGTAGTTGTACTACAGCTTCCATATAATAGATGAAGCTTTCAGGTTAATTTCCCAGGCTGTGTCTCCCAGAAAGCTCAAGCTGTCCTTAAAGTGCTATCCACACACCTCTCCAGAGCTGCCCAGCTATCCTCTGTCCCTTCCCTTCCCAGATGTGGAGAATGGCCATAGGCCCACTCCCTGGGTTCTCAATGGCATGGACACAAAGGGAATGGGAGCCATAGCCATGCCACAGTTAACGGAAACTGGCAGGTCGCTGTGGCCACCTTCCGGCTGCCAGAGCTGGGGGTGTGTTTGTGTTCCTGCAGGCCTCTTCCTTACCACTTCTGGTGCATTGTCTTGCTGGTAGGTCCCTGGTATCGCATGTCAGTATTGGTGATGAAGCCAATTAAACTGAAATTGTGCCATTCTTCTCAGAATACCTGGTGATTCAATGCATTTGCGCCATACTTAGATGATTACATGTGCACCTTACATGACTGAATATTCTTGGCCTCATTTTTTTAAAATATGCTTTTATTGATTTCAAAGAGAGAAGAGAGAGGAAGGGAGAGAAACATCAGTGATGAGTGAGAGCCATTGTATGGCTGCCTCCTGCTCATCCCCCTACTGGGAATCGAGCCCCAAACCTCTGGCATGTACCCTGACCAGGAATTGAAACTCAACCACTGAGCCACATCGGCTGAGTCCTTGGCCTCCTTAATTTAACCCAGCCACACAGGTTAGAGATTTCTCAACAGCTTATAATAAGTCCAGACTATTGCATTTCACAGGACACTGGGCAGGGCAGTGTTTCCTTAAAAGAAGTGGGCACCTGAATGTCTCATTCATGCACAATGGCCCTTCTCCCAGATCCTCAGTCACACATTGTTTTGTGCCTGATATTTTATATTTGTGCTGTGTCTTTTCTGCTCAGTGATTCCCAGACATTTTAGCATGAAGGGCATTTTTTATTTTTCCAATGGAGTTCAGGTTGGACTTTTTAAAAATATGTTATTGAGTTTACTAGAGGCCTGATGCATGAAATTTGTGTGGGTGGCAGGGACGGGAGATCCTCAGCCCAACCTGTGCCCTAACCGCCTGCCTGCTCGCTCCTTACCACTTGGCTCACTGCTCTTTAGTGCTGCCACAGAGGGGGGAGAGGCTTCCGCCACCTCTGCTGCGTTTACCAGCTGTGAGCCTGGCTTCTGGCTGAGAGGCGCTGCAGCTGTGGGAGCACAATAACCACCAGGGGCAGCTCCTGCAATGAGCATCTGCCCTCTGTCGGTCAGTACACATCATAGCAACCAATCTTTCTGGTCATTCCTCTGTAAGGGTCACCGGGCTTTTATTATATATACTAGGGGCCCTGTGCACAAATTTGCGCACCTTCAAATGAACTGTGGACTGCGAGACTGGGGTGGGCACAGGGGTGGGTCACGGCCCATCCTCCATGCCCCTGCCCAGCCCCTCCTGCTGTGGCTCCTGGTCCTCTGTCTGCCAGCAGCCCTACTCCCGCCACCACTTCCACATGCTGAAGGCACTGACCCCACTCACACCTGCTGACAGCATGGAGCAATTGGGGCCGGCGCCATCAGTGGGTATGAGCAGGGCCGAACTGTCAGTGGGTGTGAGCAGAGGCTGCTGCCCAGATCACCCCTCAGGAGCAGGGGGAGGTGGAAAAGCCCTGAGGGGCAATCTGGACTAGCAACCACCACTTGCACCCACTGATGATGCTGAGCAATTGGGGCCAGTGCTGGGTGCTGGTAGCAGGTGTGGGTGGTGGTTCTGGCACCAGCAGCAGGTGTGAGTGCTGGGTAGTATCGTAGTGCATCAGAACAAAGAATTTTTAGTAACCACCAGAGGCTCTCCCTGATGACAGCGACTGGCAACCGCCTTGGTCTGGCAACCCTCTCACCTGCTCCACCATTTGCTACAGCCAATGCCCACCATGTTTTGTGCACATGCCCCCTGGTGGTCATTGCACATCATAGCAACCTGTTGTTCAGTTGTTTGGTTGTTCACCATTTAGTCTATTTGCATATTAAGGTTTTATATGTGTAGACTAGAGGCCTGGTGAATGAAATTCATGCATGGGAGGGGGGTCCCCTTAGCCCAGACTGCACCCTCTCCAATCCAGGACCCCAGGACCCCTTGGGGGTTGTCCAACTGCTGGTTTAGGCCCAATCCTGTGGATCAGGCCTAAAGAGGCAGGTGGACAACTCTCTCACAATTCTGGACTGCTAGCTCCTAACTGCTCACCATCTACCAGCCTGATCACCTCTAACTGCCCCCTCCCTGTTGGCCTGGTCACCGCCAACTACAACCCACTTTGCCTGCCTGGTCACCTCTCACTGACCCTCTGCTGGCCTGCTTGCCCCCAACTGCCCTCTTCTCCCTCCCCCCCAACACTGCCAACTTGGTAGCCCCAGGCAGCCTGCTGTTCAGTTATTTGGTCATCTCTCACTAACCCCCCTGCTGGCCTGGTCGACCCACTCAGCCTGCTTGTTCAGTCATTTGGATGTCCCTAACTAACCCCCCAATCATCCTGATTGCCCGACACAGCCTGCACAATGACCATTCAGTTGTTTGGTAGTCCCTCACTAACCATTGCCCCCTGCCAGCTTGGTCGTAGGCAGCCATCTTGTGAGGGTGTGAGGGTCAATTTGCATATTACCTCTTTATTACATAGGATTGAGGTGACATTGATTAGAGGTTGGACATTTTACTGTGAAATAGACCATACTGTTTAGATTTCACATTTTTGTTCATCAAAGACATAAGGAACCATCCTTCAGTTTCTACTTAGGTTGAAACAACCAATATTTCCACAGAGAGGTGATTTACATAATTGCAGCTTAGATCCATGAAACATTGCATTTTAGTTCTTCTTTTCAAGCTTCATCAAGAGTACAGGTATGTTTTCAGGGTGGCTTTTTAAAATATAGGAAATACTCGCACATCTCTATCAATGCCCGAAGGGGAGTCATTATTGCTGTAATCAGTCATTTATATGCTGGTGCCTATGGGAGCTTTGAGGGTAGGTCTTGCTACAGTGAGAGGCCCCAGGACCAGGCCAGGGCAAAGAAGCAGACTGAGAAGGGCAATTGGAGTGGGAGGAGACAACAGTGAGGCAGTGGTGCCCTGCACACGTGTGGTTCTAATTCTGCTTCTGCCCCGAAGAGCTACTCTGTGACCTCAGGGCAGTCACTCAGCATCTACAACTACTTTTTATTTTAATGGATAAGAATAGAGAGCTATAATGAAGAAAAGCTAATTTTTGTCTTAGATAGTGAGTTTGAAGATGGCATAATTTTATTGATCAGTGCCTAACCCAATGCCACGTGTTATTTTGAGGACAATCATACAAATACTAGCTGCCACAACTAGATGTTAATGAGCATCTATTATGCGCCAGGCATGGCACGTGGTTGTGCCCACATTTGCTTGTGTAATCCTCACAGCTGCCCTATGAAGATGGAATTTGTCCCATTTTATAAAGAAAAAACTGGGGCTCTGAAAAGTTGGAAAACGTACGATGCCCAGATAGGAATAGGCAGAGCCCAGAGATGCCCTCAGACCCATCTGATTCTTGGGCTCTAAGTGTGGTACATCTGGAGAAAATGAAGTTCTTTGTAATTGTAGGAATTTTCTAGGGGTTGGTGCATTAAATCACCCAGAAGGCATGAAAAGTACATTTAAAAGAGCCAGGGAGAATTTTTAGAGGCCTTTGGGTAAGATCGCACTGTGGATTCCTCTGCATGTTTTCAACTATTCTCCTCCCACTCCCCACCCAACCCTGCCTCTAGATTTGTGCACTCGTTGCCAAAGTTCCATGTGGAAGGAGGTGGAAGTGGTTGGAACCCATATATTTGCTCTTTGGAGAATAACAGCCTCATAGTTTAGGCTATAGTAGGGATACCCAGAGTGTCAAAATATAGCTCACAATGTCTGTAACTAAAAAATATTTCTGAGACGTATGCACTTGGATAGCCTACTGCATAATCCTCCTTGAAATCTGGATATTCCTGGAATTCCATCCATTACCTTCCGTGGTCTTCTGAATTACTGGACAGATTGAAGGGTGATTATCCAGCTCCAGACTCACAGCTTACCTTCTCCAGGGTGTTTCAACCTCCTCGCTGTTTATAGCTGGAGGCTGGATAGTTCTTTGGTGTGGAGACTGTCCTGGGTGTTGCAAGATGTTTGGCAGCATCCCTGGCCTCTCCCCAATAGATGCTAATAGCCACCATGTTCATTCTGACCACTCAGATGTCTGCAGTCATTGCTATCAATAATATTCTCTTGGTGTGGGGGAATCACCCAATGTAGGAACCTCTGGTCTAATCAAATTGCTCATCCTCCTTAGCTACTTCCTTACTCACTTTTCCTTGTGTCCACCTTGAATATCTCCAGTGCTGGGGAACCCACTCCTTCTCCTCTTTAGAGAACATTTCTGTCCTAAAACTCTTCCTTACTTTGAGCCTAAACATGTCTCTGTAGTTTCCTATTCTGCCCTGCCTGGTCCTTCTGATTCTCCCTCAAGTGTTTACAGACCATCATGCCTGAATCTTCTCTATACCAGCCATTTACTGCCTCGTCAGCAGTTCCTCAGATGC